GATCAAAATACTTACAGTTTTACATACATACATACACACACACATACATACATACATGCACGTATACACCGTCTATGTATATATATATATATTTATTTAAATACGTACATTCATATAAACGGAAGCATTCGTGGATTCGCATATATTAATAAGTAGGAGAAAATTATGGGCAAATATTATCGTTATCGTCCGAATCATTGTAATATGATATGATAATCATGCCATTTCGTTATCATAACAATGATGTGTTTATTTGTTACATACATCGCATGACACATCATCATCAGTGGGAACGTTTTTGATTTGAAAATTTTTGGAATTTGCTTTATGCATGAACTTACATCCACATAACATTAGTATGTATAATCGTTATAAATAAATATATTTATATATAGATGGATGAATGGATATTATTAATTAATTAGTCATATAAACATGTTAATTGTATATTTAAATATCTGTATGCATACATATACATATGTATATAGTTGCTAATTAGTTTACATAGTAAAATATAATGGATTCCAAAATTCCTAAAAGTGAAGGAAATAAGAGATTCTTTGCTGATAATGATAAGTGTGCGTCTAGGACGAAATTTCTACTGTTCACTTTTCAGAGAAACATTTTTGTCTTTCACCTGATTAATTGCTACTTTTTAGGCGCCAGTTAAAGTGGTGAATTGGTGAATTTTAAAAATTTTTTGCTATATAACAAATCTCATACCTATCCCAAACTTAATACATTTTTTCTTTTTTCATCTTATTTTAAAAATGGGTGGGGTAAAATAGTGAAAGAGAGAGAAAGAGAAAGAGGAATTACCTCTGATAGGTATTTTAGTCGATTGAGATTGAGAAGATTGATGAAAGCTTACTTGATTTTTGGATAGTTGTTGCAAATTAGTGTAAGCAAGAAGAAAATTTTTTGTTCTACACATATAAATTAGTTGTAATAGCAAATGATATACCAAGGGAAAGATTAATAATTCAAAAATTCTGTAAATTCGAATTGAATTAAATTAAAATTTAAATAAATTTACATAAAATTAATCCTGTTGTTAATTATTGCATATAAATGCTATCGTTTCTTGTTATGTTGCTTTCATATTATCAATTAATCATCATTTACCCATTACATATATAGTCGGAAAATGATGATCATTGAAGAAGAGATACGGTGTGTGTGTGTGTGTGTGTGTGTATGTGTATGTGTATGCGTATGTATGTATGATTGCATGTGTGTGTGTATGTGTGTATGTGTGTATGTTTGTGTTAACAAATAGTTAGTCAGGAATTTACGATAGAATGCAAAGACATTTTAGGATTAGTCTTGAAAGTAGATTAAAATTTGCTGATAAGAATGAAAAGTGCTAAGTTTTCTTCATCAATTCATCCGTTTAAATGCATTTTTATAGTTGAGAAAATTGAGTGTGCTTACTTGCTATTAGCCACTTTTCGTTTTAACACTTACCCTCATATCATCCTTATTCATCAAGTTTGAAGCAAATAAGTATGCATCTTCTGTTGAGCAGCCGCAACAGCATTTTTAAACATTTCAGATATTGAAAGCTGATAAGCCACAAGAAGACTAATTGAAGCATTGCTGATTATCAAACATCTAATTGTCACTATTAACAGACATCAGTGTGTATGTGTGTGTTATTTGCCGAAGAAATCTCCTAATACAAATGATGTTTGATTTAAGGATGTATTATCGACATTATCAGAAAGAATTCACACTTTGAAAAAAAGAAAAAAAAACCTCATTCTATGCTAGAATTACATCAGAAACATCAACTTTCACTTAAATATTTATGTCTTAGAAATTTTCCTTTTTTTCAAAATAAAAAAATAAATAATTTGTCGCCAGTATAAAAAAAATATAGTAGAGCAATAAGATGCAATAATTTATCATTGATAATATGAGAATAAATGAGATTCCTATAATATATATATATATATATTGATGAAAAAGGGAAAATATATAGTAGTAAATTAAATATCATAATTTTTATCTGCAATTATTATCAGAAGTTTTCTCAAAAAATGATAATGAAAATAGGAATTGAATTGAATTGAATCATAGCAATATTTTTGATAAGAATGAAAGAGGAAGGGAAAAGATATAATTTGTAACAATAAAATAGTAGTTATTTAAAATGATGAAATATTCATTTTTTAATTTATAACTTCTTTTCTTTTCTTTCTTTCTCTCTCTCTTTTTTTATTCCTGTTTTACAGAAAAGAAAAGCATTTAGCACATTATCATCATTTAGCATTCTTTGATCGGTTGTTAATATTTAAGGAATATAGCATTTGCTTAATGACCAAAATGATGAGTGATGGTAACCCAAAAAGAATGTATCAATATCATTATAAGAGAGAGAGAGAGAGAGAAAGGGAGAAGGGTCATTTGTATAAGATAAATCATCAGTTAAGAAGGAGGTGTTGAACATATGTTCACACTATTCCCTCTGATATTTTATACCCAATGGGTTAGTAATAGTAGTAATAGTAATAGTAGTAAATTGACTACTAACTATTATTACAATATTATGATAATAGCTATCACTGTTAATTTATATAGATAAAAGATGAAGAAAGGATGAAAAGAAAAAGAAGAACTGGAAAATTTTTAAAAGGAAATAATAAGAAGAAAAAGCAATTTAAAGACAAAATTGAAAATCTCCTTTTATTCATCTTTCTTTCTAATATGTTTTATTTCTTATCATCTCTAATTTTCAATTATATACAAAAATAAGCAATGAAGGATAATTTATCTTTTTCCCCCTCTCTTTTTCTTTCTCTCTCTCTCTTTATTTAATTTACAATTATGATTTTAACACCGAAATGTCTAAGAATGTACAGAATACATATGTCTGTGTGTATGTGTGTGTTTGTGTGTGTGTGTATGTGTGTGTGTATATGTGTATGTGTGTGTGTGTGTGTGTTTTTGTGTGTGTGTGTGTGTGAGATATGATTTGTTCAATAAATGTTCAAAGAATAAGCGACATTTGCTACTAAGAAGGTGTTAAGTGGTGTCAAAGTATGATTAATATGAAATATGTGGGCATATTTATTGTAATAAATGTTTAAAAATGATAAGAATAAATAATTTAAAAGAAAATTATTGAATGTAAATATATTAATTAATAAATGATGATTTGTTTTATATGAAATTTATTTGTTACATCCGAATAATTTTAAAATTTAAATTACGCAAATTAGATGAGACGGTAACAATAGATAATATTAATTCATATAGTATAATTATTTTATTTTGTTTTATTTTAAAGGGAAAAAGAAATGAGAAAGGAGGAAAAAAAAAAAAACAAGGTTAAAAATGATATGATATATTCATCTAATTTCATTTATTTTTTCCTCTCATTCTTTCATAGTGATACTTAACTTATCAAATTTAACTTATTATTTCATTTTCCCTCATTTTTTTTAAAAAAGAATTTTTTTCTTCCTTCTATGATTTATATATAAGCAATAATATTGTTAAAATAAGAACTAAATGTAAGCATTTATTTATGTATGTATATATATATACCTGTTAGCTAGTAAAATTTTGCAAATGCTTCCGCAAATTTACAACGAAACAAATTCTATCATTGATGTTGCTAAGATGGGAAAGTTATAATGATTTATCTTAAAATCATTAAGTTTCTGTTGAAAATGAGATATGTCTGTGGAAGACAAGAGGCGCCACCAGGATAAATCGAGAAAAAAAAGAGAAAAAAAAAGAAAATATTGAGATCAACAACGTAAAATCATCATTACTAACAATCATTCATCCCCAAATCTGGACTTTTAACTATTACTATTGTTCTAATCCTACTATTGCTATTATTATTATTACTACTATTTCTACTCCTAAAACTAATACTACATTAATTATTATCATTAAAATCTTATTTTTACTTATTTTTGAATTTTTCAAATATTATATCTTTTATTTTGCAAATAATTGAAATAAAATAAACAGGAATAATTATGCTTTTTTTTTTTTTGTTTTTTGGAGTAGAAATAGTTAGTAATAGTATATTTTTAGATGTGTCATTGTTATATTAAGTATTCAAATGATAGTCATTATTTTATATGAAATATAAAGTCATTTATGAAATATATATATATGGAATTCATTAGTTCATATCATTCATTTTTCATAAAATTTATCTTATTAGAATAAGTTACCTTTTTTTCTAAAAAAAAAAGAAAAAAAATAATAAAAATAGATGTAAGCAGTATTCTTTAAATAATAAAACGGAATTAAATTTTACCATTGCTGATAATAATTTTCATTAATTTAATGCTAATTAATCAATTATTTCACATATTATTTTAAATTCTAAATTTTCGAATTTATTATATCCAGCAAATAAGTATAAATGAGAATATAATCACAACTAATCGTTACCGCGCACTGTTACATTACGGACATTTTTGGTCACTTTATGTCATCCGAAATTTTTCAAACATGGAATGAATACAATCATGAATTTGTATTACTGTTACCCATATCCCAGCGGGATATCACATTAGATCGATTTAAAATCGATGTCCTTGATAATTTTCATGATGTCGTTGCTTTCCATTCACTATTACATCTTGTACTTTAACAATATTTCAAAATGATCTTAACTCAATTGTAATTGTAAAACAATAATTTCATTATCATTTGATAAATTTTTATATAATGAAAAAAGAAAAAATATTAAGCATATAAACTGACATACATGCAATTTAACTAATGTTTTTTGATATGTGCAAAAAAAAAAAAAAATTTCATTAATTATTTGATTCATATTTCATAAACATTATTTTTAATTTTGTATAAGATTAAAAATCAATGATAATTAATTATTTCAAGTTGAAAGTTAATTAATTCACTAACAAAATGCTTGAATAGAATTGGAAATTATTTCATTTAAAAAAAAAAAAAAAAGAAAAAAATTGAAAGTTTATGGTTGCAGATTGTTGCTGTAATTGTTTAGAAAGATGCATAAAGCATCAGATTCTCGAAGACTTCGAAGTCCAGATGGTCTCAAATCTTCGGTTTTCAAAGCAATTCGAAATGTGAGGGTAGGTAATTCTTTGCTAATTATTATAAAATATTAGCTGTTAATTATGCTTAATTTAGCTCAAATGTTTCCACTCATTTATTAAAGTTTATTTCATATCCTATAAAACCCTGTACATTAATTCATAATTAAATTCATTTCAATAACTTCGAAAAAAAAAGTCCAAAAAATAAGATTATTTGCTAAAATATGATTATAGTATCAATAACTATATCTATAAACTCTAATAAATAATTTACTATATAGCATCATTATTAATTGTTCTTTCTTTTTGCTAATTACTGTTCAAAGATTAGTTACTCTTCTATAGTTTAATACTCTTCTATAAATTATCATCGAATTTAAAATTTATGAAAATTTAAAAATTTATCGGTTGAAGAAAAAAAAAAATCTTCAAAATGACAACGACTATGGGTAGCGGAGATAATACACAGAAGGAAAAATGATCATTTAACATTGTGTAACAACTGTTTGATGCAAGAATCACATCATTATAAATAATCATGCGAATAAATCACGATACAGCAAAGAGAATAGAGGATGGGAAGAACTTTTCCCATCAGCGCTAAAGTTGCCCGCTATTTGATGAAAGTTTACCATTAGCATTTATCATATTTCATATTATTTCATCAGAAATTAATTTCAGAAAAAGAAAAAAAAAAGGAAAAGAAAGAAAAAGCAGAAGGAAAAAAAAAACAGTGAAATAAAAAAATATTATAATGAAAAAAAAAAAAAAAGTGAATAAATGTTGCAAAAATTTTTTATAGACAACTATTGAAGATGATATGGAAAACATTCGTTGTCCCTTTGCAAAAATGGAAGATGATTTGGAAATTGGTGATTTTCGAATTTTTGCTAGCAGTGAAATGAATGAGGAAAAAAAATTAACGCAAAAGTTACAAGAGAAAAATCATAATGAGGTATGGTTTTTTCTTTTTTTCTTTTCTTTTTTTATGATCTAAATAATTATAGGCTTATGAAAAAGAAAGTAATATATTTTCTCGACTGAAGAGAAAATTTATTATTTTCCGTGAGTAATAAACCGAGGTACTAAAATGATTTAGTACTTACTCATACGTAATGATATATTTGCAATTACTAAACTTCTGCACTATTTTGAATAAGAAAATCATAGTATTATTACTAGGCATTTTCAAATGACAATTAAGTTATAAATTTCGAAAAAAAAAAAGGAAGAATTTAAATAATGAAATAAAATATAAACAAATTGAATATAGTAGTAATGATAGTATGAGTAATTGTGTCATTACTCATACTAACAAAGCATTCGTTTGGGTATGGTTGAGTGGGATTGATGGATACGGTGAATTTGAACATAAATTGAAATATTAAAGGAGGAGAAGGGGAGAAGGAGGAAAGAGGAGGAGGAGGAGGAGAAGAAGGAGGGTTGAACAAAGGTCATAGTAAGGGTATCGTGTCGTCTGTCTCCTAATATATATTTGGATGAAAGTTTCCTTATCTTATGTATATATGATAGGTATGGAGAATTTTTTTATTTCATTTTTTTTCCTTTGAACTAAACATTAAGAAAACAAATTAGTATGATACTAATTTACTTAATTATTTCTTATTCCAATTATATTTGCATCTATTAAATTGATATATGAATGAGAAGAAAAAGATAAGTGTAATAAACGAATAATTTTTAGATAAAATTTAAAAAATAAAAGATGGATTAAAAAAGAAAGAAAGAAAGAGGAGAGGTAAAAGTGAACTAAAATAGAAATTAAATTGTTGTTGTAAAAAAAAAAAAAAAAAAGAAATTAATCTGAAAAAGCAGAATTCTTAGTTGCTTGTTTATGTTTGATGTAAATGATGAACTAGCCAATCAGCCAACTTGTTGATCCGTTAAAAAGTTGACAAAGTAGGAGAAAAAGAGGAAAGAGGAAGAAGAAAAAGAGTTGGGAGGAGGAGGATGGTTGTCACAATTTTGTTCGATTAACTCTAAAATCTGGATTCTTTTAAAAATGAAGATGATGATGATTATAAAGATGATGACCTTCTCCATTTCTATTCTATCAATTAACATATAGGTGGAGGAGAAAGAAATGATATTGGACATGAAGGTGGGGCAAATTGAAAAGGGCGGAGAAGGTGAGAAAAAAAAGTGGGCGGAAAAAGGTTCTGAAAGATAGAAGTGAGAAATTTGGAAGAAATTAGATTGATTATCCGAAATCAAATATTATAATACTAATAATTTTATAATATTAGAAACTCATTAAGTTATGTTTTTTTTTTTTTTTTTTTTTTTTTATATTTATGCATTATGGAATACTTCAAATTTAATTTATAAGTGATAATTGATGTTCGTATGTTGATGATAAAAGCGGATAATCATTTTAACCTTTTGTGCGCAAAATCATCCCGACATTAACCTCTAAACTTTCATTAATTTATCTATCCATCTATCCGTTCATATCCGATTAATACTTCCTCCCTCCAAACATGTGTGTATGTGTCAGACAAATGTCAGTTGTTGAACAAAAACTGCAGTAAATCCAATTTTCGCACTTTATTTATATGTGTATGTATGTATGTGTGTGTATATATAATATATATATATATGTGTGTGTGTGTGTATGTGTGTATGTGTAAATTGTAATCACTGAAAAGATTGGTAGCGTGACGAATGTTTGACACATGATGGTTGACAGTTGACAGACAGAAAGAAAGATATTGAAGAGTGGATAAATGCCACCTAAGAAGGTGAAAAAAGAAGCAAAGTGGACAGTATTATCCCTCTTTTGATACGTTTAAATGAATGAAAGAGAGAAAAAGAAAAGAAACCAGTTTTATGTTTATTGTTTGTTCTAAGTAGTAATAGTTGATTGATATTGGTAATTGAAATTGGTAGGGATAAAAATGAATTAGTAATAAAGTTAAGATATAGATATTAGATTTAAATAAAATGAATGATAATCTTAAGATTAACTCTTTTCTTATACGATATATTGTGAAAAGTCTACGGTAAATGATTGATTTGTTAATATGATGCATTGAAAACATTGAATAATATTTTTCTCTTAAAAAAAAAAAACGAAAACAGTGAATAAGAAATGATTTTTTTTTTTCTCTTATTCATATATATATTATTTGTAATAGATTGAAATAATTACATTTTGGATTTTGATTAAAAATATAAACAGTATTGCATTTTTTTTTCTTTTAAATTTCTAATTAGGATTGTTTGAATATCATATTTAGATTCAAATAATGCTGATTAATTTTGAATATTAGTTAATTTGATTAGATGGAATCAATTGTTTGTTTGTTTGTTTTTTCCATTATTTCGATTTTTTTTTTTTTTTGGTTAGATGTATACAATAATTATTTAAAACAATTAGCAAGTGTTTATCTTGCATGAATTACCGTATCATGAAAATTTTTGATGATAATTTTGAAATAGCAAAATGGTATTTCATAATTTTTATTCATTATCATAATTTTTCTAGCAATTTATTCTTTTACTTTTTATGTCTCAGTTAATGTTATAAAATATTTGAGAGTTTCAAAAAAACTTTGTTTAGAATAAAGAAAAAACGAAGCTTTATAAAAATATTTGTATCAAAATGTAAAACACATACAGAGAGTAGTTATTCAATTACTTTTTAAAATCTTTTTCTAAAGTTAAAGTAAAGTAAAATGTAGGTGTAAATGAAACAATCCTTTTTTCTTTTTTTTTTTTTGTTCTGTTTTGTAGCATTTTTTTTTTAATGCGTTAGCTGAATTATTCAATTAATTTCCATTGTTTTTTTTTTGAAATTAAAAATATATTCGATTTTTTTGTCATTTCAATGATAGAAGGATCAAAGCAAGGTGAAACTTTTCTAATATTTAAAGATGAGATGAAAAAAGATGAAGAAGAAAGTTGAATTATTGAATAGATCGCTATCCTACTATCATTTCAATAGAACATAATTTCTCATCCCATCTAGCAGCAGCAACTTCAACTATCATTTTCATCTCATTTCATCAAAAAAAAAAAAGAAAGCTGATTGGTTTATGGGAAATGATTTGAAAATTGCTTTAAGGGTGGAATATTTTACATTTGGATATGGTTATGATAAAAGGAAAAAAAATGATTGATTATATAAATAAATAAAGTAGTAAAAATGCGAAAAAAAAATATTTGATAAAAAATATCAAATTTTTAAAATTTAAATATACATTTTTTTTTCCTATTGAATGTATAATAAATGACTATTGAATAATGTAACTATTAATGTTAATTATTATATTAAAATTGAAAAAACGAAAAAAGCATTTGATAATTTTATAGAAGCAAACAACAATTGCTGTAAGTTAGAGAAATTAGGAAATTTTATAAAGGTTATATGTATATTTTTTATATTGTTAACTTGAAATTAATTTTACAAAATGCCATAATTTTTCTTTATTTTTTTTTCTTTCATTTAATATAACTTTGCAGTATTTCATCCTTTAAGATGATAGTCTTGATTAAATTAAATGAAATAATATTGTTTTGTCCTATTTTTTTTAATGGAATGGAACATCTGCTTAAATTGAAATGTAATACTACCACAAAATAATAACACAACATTTATTTTTGGCGGTATCCTTTTTTAGAAAAAAAAAGGAAAACGAAAAGAAGTATGAAAGAAATTGTGCTTTTAAAATTGATGCATCATTTTGGACAATTGAAATGAGGAATAGAAAATGATTAAAAAAGGAAGAAGGAAGAGAGAGAGAGAGAGAGAGAGAGTTTCCAGGTCATTAAAATAACTATTTTTTGAAATTACTTATCATTTTTTTCAACACTTATAATTTGAATAATAATATAATGCTTATCAAAAGTTAAAATTGAAATCAATACTTTTATTTGTTTCGTTGATTTGAATTAGTTTAATCCTAAACATTTATTTATGACAAAATAATAGTTTGCTTAAATTGAATTTCTAGTGGAAAAAAAAAAAAAAAAAAAACGAAAAATTAAGAATTATCATCAATTATCTCATTATTAAATATTTGATATATGTTATCATTAATCAGTCAACACCACTATTTTCTAACATTTTTTTTTTAAAAAAAAAACAAAAAAGTTTACATAATTATTAGTATTAGAGGAATAATTTTAAAAGAAAGTTTACATATTATTATTATATGAATTATTAGCAAATTATAGGCATCAATAGATGAAAAAAATAATAGATGAAATCATCTTTTTTTTTTTTAAGAGAGAGAGAAAGTTATTTTTAACATTTAAATTAATTTTAGAAAAAAATTATTTGTTAAACTTTATTTTAATCTATTCTTTTGATCTATATTCTTCTATCTGTCAAATTTAGCAGTGATAATGTAAAATGATTTTAATATGTTGTATGTATGTATGTTCATGTATGTGTATGTGTGTGCATTGAACCATCGAATTAGCGTTAATAGAGCTAATGCGGATTTTTTGGGATGAAGGGAGTCGGCCGACTTTCCCCGTAAAAAGAGGGTAAAAGTGCCGAAAAAGTACCATTCTATCCTATCATTACCGATCGCAACCTCACAAATTTTGTTTAAAAAAAAAAAAAAAAAAAAAAAAGGAAAAAGAAAGATTTCTACCTGTCAACACAAATTACTTCACTAATTTTGCTTCTTTTGACACAATTTTAACGAATTCTTCTCGGAATACTATTAATAATAATAATAATTGTGATAATAATTTTCAGAGATGAAATCTTTGTAAGAATAGCAAATTACGGTAATATTGTCATAGTATGAATAGTGATTGCGATAGTTTATATCAAAAAGATTTTTATAATTAAAATATAAAATATTATGAGTAATATTTGTTTATTATTTTATGAAATTTCGTTTTTTTTTTTTTTAAAAAAAAAAAGGGAATGATGATACTATAATAATTGTATGTTATCAATAATGATTACATTATTTTTGTGTTTAAAAAAAAAAAAAAAAAATCAAATAATTGCTAATTGTTATATGGTAATAATTTCCTCTCATATGCTCTATATGTATTAAATGATGATAGTAATTGATAACAATCTTTTTACAATTTTTTTTTTTTTTTTTTCTTTTATATAATACAATTTGCCGCAAAATCGTGTGGTGTTAAAATGATCATTCATTTAAATTGTTAAATTAGTTGTGGCAGCTGTTGCTAGATGAAAAGCTTTTTGTTTCTATTTGCGCATTATTGCTATTTTACTTGAACTTTTAACCTCATTTATACATTTTATCACTTCTTTCTTTCTTAAATCTAAGTAATTTGCAATTTTTTTTTTTAATATTATAATAAATTTTTTATATTATCAAAAAATTTTAATTTTCTTAACGAATTTTTTTGTTTTTCTTTCTTTTTTTTCATTGCATAAACAAAAGATTAATTATATTTAATTTTGCTAAAAGAAATGAATAATCCTAGTTTTCTCAAAAATATAGTTATTTGTACACTATAAATTAAATTAAACATAATTCTTAAGCACTGTTATGTGTATTCTTTGTAGGACCAAATAATTTAATTTATTTTTTAATCATTCCATTTAATTATCTCTTTAATCATCTAAATTCATTTCTACGAAACATTGTTATTTTTTTTGTTAAAAAAATTAAGAATTTTAAAATTCCATTTCAATCTGTATAATTTCAGTCCACAGCTATTTTTTCTTCTTTCAACGAACAATCATTGTTGAATGATACAATTCCTACTGTACAATGGATTCAAGCTTGTTCTACCGGTAATTTACAAACAGTTGGTAAGCTTATAAAAGAAAAGGTTAGTTGAAGTTTTGTTTTTTTTTTTAAGTTTAATTAATTTAAAAAAAAAAGAGCTGAAAAAATATCAAAATTTTCTTCTATCTTAAAAAAGGGAAAATCTTTTTTTCATTGAAAATTTTTTATTATACGGCGGATGTAAATAAAAATATTCATATGTCGTTTGATTTCACATTCTTCTAAAAAAAATTAAATAAATAAACTAATATATACTTATTCATATCACTTAAAAATCTACATTTCAATTACTATTAATTTATGCATTTTTTTTGTTTATCTCTTTAATATCCTAAATATCTATATTTTAATTTTTTAAATTAATTTTTATACAAAAATTTAATATTAAATAAATTATTAAGCGTTATTTGATCACATATGCACCAGCAATAAATCATGGCTTTAGTGGTTTACATTATGCTGCTAAAAATGGTCATAGTTCTGTGGTACGATTTTTAATAATGAATGGTGCTGATGTTAATCTTCGAACTGTAAGCATTTGTTAACTGAAATTGAATTAAAATTTTGAAATTATTGTAAATAATCATTGTCAAACTATTTCTATGAATTATTTTTATTCATTCAAAATTATTTACAAATGTATAATGTAAATTGTTAAAAATGTAATTCATTTTTTTATTGCAATTTAAATTCTTAATTAAATTTATCGTATTTTTTTTTCAGGCTGTAAGTTATTTCTATTTCCTTCCTTCCTACTTCTTTTTCTTTCACTTTTTGGATTTATTTGGATAATAGCTTTGAAATACGATAAATGTGAGAGAAGAAAAATATGAGGTATTTAGAGTGGTTATACGCCTCTTCATCTTGCTGCAATCGGTAAACAACATGAAATTATTTCCATTTTACTGCAAGATTGTGGTAAGTGTTTCATTGAATATTAATAATTTAAATTGTCATTTATACTTATTCATTTACTTACTTATCTTTTCATACGAATATGACAAGTTTGGATAGTTGGTTAATGTTAAAATTTACTAGCAATGAATTTAAAAAAAAAAAAAAAAAAAATGGATATTATCATTAACGTTAGTTGCTTTATTTAACTATTAGATGTTAGAAAGAAAAAAAAAAAATTATTTTTGATAAATAGATTGATAGGATTTTTTTTTAAAAAAAAAAAAGGAAAACATTCTTATTTGAAATATTTCTTTTTTTGCAGGTGCAGATCCATCGATTGAGGATTACTCTGGACATACTTATCAGTACTATCTTAGAAATGAACAAGGTAAAATAATTGTATGAAAAAATTTTATCACAATATTGTAAATTTGAAGACAATGTTACAGATAACATATTGAAATCTAATTTTTATCATTTATCTATACAAATCGTATTATTCTCAATTCTATTCTTTTTTTTTTTTTTTTTAAGTTCATTGCTAGTAAATTTTAACATTAACCAACTATCCAAACTTGTCATATTCGTATGAAAAAATTTGGTTTATAAATAAAACAATTTATCATTTTGTAACATTTTTTCTACCAATTAAATGAAATTAAAATTTTATTAGGATAGGAAAGGAATTAAAATATTTTTTTAATGAATATATCTTATATTAAATTTCTTCATTTATCCATGAAAAAAAAAAAAAAAACAATCATTTAGTAAAATTATTTGTGAAATATTGATAAAATATTTGAGAAATTTAAGTTTTTTTTTTTTCTATTTTTCTTTTTTTTAAAAAAAAAAAAGAAAAAATCAAATGCAATTTTATAATAAATTTCATTGAACACATACAGACACAGACATAGACATACATACATATACACATATGTACATACACAGATATGAACCATATGGTTTTATGATGTGATGATCGGTTGATCGGTAGGAAGCACAATTTCAATGTAGGATAAGGACGGGGGATGGGGTGGCGGGGGGGGGGGGGAAGGGGAGGGGAAATCCATCATTCATTCGTTATTTTAGAATGATTATTGTTCAAATATGTTGATTTTTTTTTTTTGCAAATCACTCAAATAAAGGGACCAAATCGTTTTTCTTCTCTTTTTTTTTTTTATTTTGCTCATCTTTACTATATGCAATAATTTTTTTCATCTGTCTTTTTATTTATATATTTGTTATCTTTAAATTTAATCGATAAGTGTGATAATATTTTATAATTTTTTTTATTTATTTATTCTCTTTTATTCATAATGTTTACAAAAGAAAAAAGAATTATTATTACATTATGAGCAAATCATTTCTTTCTTTTTTTCTTTCAAAATCTTTTTTTTTAAGGGTTTAATTTTATAAATTTTTTATATTAGTTGTAAATTTTTTGTACGTTTCATTAATTAAAAAGGAAAAATTCCGAAGCTATTATATGTAATATTTATTATTATATAATAATATTGTAATCATTTTGTTTTTCTTTTGTCTTTTTTTTTTTTCTAGAATATTATTTTTGAAAATATTTTGTTCTTTTTTTTTTTCTAAATCACATTTCAGTAGTTTCTACTTTCTTTTCTTTTAAAAATTTCTACTTTTCGCTATTTTCAATGCTATTTTCATTTTCAATTACGGTAGCACAACACTAATTAAAGTATGAGCCAATAGAAATTGGGAAAAAGTAAAATGGTGCACATTCTAGAATAAAACTTTTCCTATTTATATATTTCTTAATTATACCAAAAAATTCATTTGATCAATGTTGGATAGATCTTGTAGTTTTATTTTTATAGCTTTGAGATTAAACAATTCTAAGATACATTTACCATTTTTATCACTTTTTGTTTGTTTATCAGTGATGCATTTACTCGGAATTGACCTTTCGATGTTCTTTACCAATTACAATATAGTAATAATTTTATTTGAGTTAAAATTCATTAAAATAATTATTAGTTTTAATTACTGGATGAAATTACGCCGTGCTAGTATTGCATAATTATTTATAGTTGATTAACTAAAAGTGTTTTATGTTTATTATAAAGTTTTATTTTTTTCATACTATTCACTTTGATTTTATTCATCATTTTGAGATTTGCACAAATATGCATATACGATTGATCATATGGATCAATCGAATATTGATTATTTGTCATATAACATTTGATGATGTTATCTGATCGCTGATCTTATAATTCTTTTATTTCATTTTAGTTTTAGTTTTAGTTTTACTTTTCTAAGCTATAGTCGTTTATCTTGTGGTTAAATGATTGTGAAAGCACTTTGATCTATTTCATTATCTGAATGATTGATTGATTATGAATTTTGAAATCTAGATCACAATTGTTTATCACTATTCTCATCTACAGTATTATAGTCTCTTTCTTTTCTTTTCTTTTTTTTTTTTTCGTTTTACTTCTAGTCAAAACGTTTTTTAGTTTCTTATAAAGTCTTAATATTTTATTTCAGAGAAAAAAGAATGAAAACGATTTGAAAAAAAAAAAGAAAAATCAATAACGGCTAAATAATTAGATGAACATTTCATAAATTAAGAAACGAACTAACATTTGTCGATCGATAATTAAATCATTATATAAGTTCGCAATAATATTAATCTTTTTTCTTTTCTTTTTTTGCTCCCTTTTTTTAGTACATAAAATTAAAAAAGAAAAGTTTTTCTTTTTTTGCAGGAATTGTTTCTGATAAAATCAAAAATGGAAATATAATTGGTAATAGTAAATATGAACAACATCAAAATGATACACAATTATCATCATCTACAACTGAAATAATGCAATTTTCACGTCTAAAATCTTTCAGAAAAGCAGTTCATGGACGAATGCGCTTTTTTACTGGTTTTTTTTTTTAAATATTTTCAAGTTACCAAAAAAAAAATTGCTTTAAAGAAGTTTAAGATTCTCAACTTTGAGAAATTATTTATTATTGTACACTGATAATAAAAAATGTATAAATTATTAGATTTTACTGGTTTAAAAATTAGTTGATAACATGCTAATAGACGTATATTTGACGTAACATGATGATAGACGTATAATTTATATTATTTACCTTTATTTTATGTTGCTAGATTAATGAACTAATTGTTGTTTTTCTTATAAATTTTATCGGAAAAAAATGAGAAAGACAATTTTTGTTATTTTATTTTATTTACAAGTTTCTCAAAACAGCCTACCGTATCCGTATGAACTTTCTCACCGTAATTCTTTCTCTTTTTTTTGACAGGGAGGGAGAGAGAGAAAAAAGCAAGGAGATATAGTTGAATTATGCAGGATGATTTTGGAAATAAACGTATCGATGAAATAATAGTAATAATTTAAGTAAAATTAATTAATTTTATAAAATAATTCAAAGTTAATTGTATAATTTGAATTAAATTTTAGTTTCGTATTAAAACAACATTTTCAAATTTTATTTTTATTTTCAGATAAACAGCTGTAAATGCTTATTATGTGATATTCATGCAGTCAAAATATTTTGTCTATAACAATTCTTCCTATGTAAACACCAAACAACAGCGACAAACAACGACAACAATAAATTTTTAGAATAATTTTATTTATAATTTACTTTCTAAGCGGTATTACTTTTTGATTCTGATGACCCGTAAAATGCTCAATTTGGATGATTTTGATGAGAATAATCAATCATTCATGAATTGAATGAGTAAACTAAACATCCGTATATGCTAAGCGGTATAAAATGAATCGAAGAATAATAAAATAAGAGGGAGAGAGAGAGAGAGAAGGAGAGGGAGAGGGAGAGAAAAGAAGAAAGGAGGTAAAAAAAAAAAAAAAGAAAGGAAAGAATAGACTTGATATTACCTTCTCATTTTGTGATTAGTTGTAGCACACACAAAATTATTCTTTTATTCATCTTCTTATCCTTTCACTTGAAAATCATGCATCATGCACTTGTCACATTATAATCAACCTTTTCGTTTGACCTTTTTTTTTATATCTGTATATATATTAGCAAGTTAATGTTAACTACTGTTTTTTAATCTTCATTTAAGTAGTAGTCTTATATAGAAGTATCATAGGTTATTCATGATTAATTAATCATTACAACATTTTAAAATTTGTTAAGAAATTTCTTTTTTTTCAAGGGAGGGGAAAGCAAAAATATTTAATTTTTTAGATAGATTTAAATGGTATTTGCTTTTTTTTTTTGTTATAGAAATGAAGAAAATTTTTTACAAATTTAAAAAGCTATTGAAGTTTTATAATTTTACTAAATTATTTTCAGTAATGGTTAGGTTTTGATTTTTTTTTTTTTTTTTTTTTTTTTTTGTTGACATAATTATTCAATTCTTCAAATGATTATATCATTATCGTTTTATTTTGTACAGTATACATATACGGTTACAATTTTGTTTGACATATCTTTGTAAACAAGCAAAAGAAGAGAAGAAAAAAAAGAAAGAAGGAAGAAAAAAAGCGCAATTGAGCAATGTATACGCGCAACAGTATCAATCTATTTCGGCTTCATTAACTCATCCATATCATCTTCCATTTCATATATTATACTACCCAATAATTACCCATCGAATAGTTAAAGTGGTAGTCGGTTAGCTTCTTTCTTTTTTTTTTTTTTTTTTTCATCTAACGATATTATTATTACTATGATTATGGTATATTTACCTGTAATATTTGATTGACTATCATTTTCACCTGTTTGTTAATCACTTCAATAGATTTAACCAATCCTTCAAAGCCTATTGCATCGTTCCATTCATGCCCTTTCACCTTTCTCTTTCCTTTTTTCTTTCTCTTTCTTTCTTATTATTTCTTTTTTTTTTTTCTGCAAGAATGAACACAAGTAATGTTTAGAAAAAGCAAAAAGGGAATTTTAGAGTTTATTTTTTTGTTTTTGGCAGAAAAAAAAAATTACTTTAAGATTTTTCGTCCTGAAATTTACATTTAAAGTTTATAAAAATTTCTTCTATTAAATCACTTATTTCACATACAGTATTTTTTTTTTTTTGTCATCAGATGATGCTTATGTTAGTATTATTTCAATGCTTTCAATACAGTACATGTTGTATTTTTATTTTTTATTTTTTGATTCGAATAAATTTTTTTTTCTTTCATCTTCGAGAAGATGCGTACATTTTAAATTCAACTAATCATTAGCAACTGAACAACACTATTCTTGTAAGAACTAAAGTTTTAAAGTTAAAATTGTTAAAATTTAAGTTTCTGATCTTTCATATTATTACGTTTTTAATTTTCTTCATTTTTCTACAATTTTTTTTTTCTTTTCTTCTTTTTATTAATTTGTTTCTTTTTGATTAGAGACATTTTTCATTCAATTATTTTATTTATGCATTTATTTTACGTTACTTACGTCAAAAAAAAAAAACTAATTCTTTTTTTGCAAATTTTCATTTATTTTTGATATTCTTTTTGATTACTGTAACTTGAAATTCCTTTCTTATTTTTCTCACAATTTTTAATCATTATCTTTATTACTCGCATCATTTGTATATTTCCTTTTTAATCCTTTCAACATTAACCTATACTTTATGATATTGAAAATTTATTATTACCATTAAAGCATTAAATTTAATGTCTACCTAAAATATCTCATTAATTTTCCAATATTTAATTGCACATGCAAGATAGGGAAAAAAAAATTAGAATTGAAATTCGATATTTTAATTCGATATCTTATTTAACCAATAATTAATTTGATAAATTCATAGTACACATATACTTTCTTTTCGCTATTTACATACAAAATAAGCGAAGAAAAAAGTTCAAATTAAAGTAGCAATTTAAAACTTGCTCATTTTTTTTTTTTTTTTTTTTTACATAAATGAATGAATCTAATTTTAATTTCTTTCCTTTTTTTTTCCTGATATAAATTTAATAAGTACATTGATACTTCCTTTTCGCAATTTGTTTATTCATGAAAATTTATAATTGACCTTTCCTACTTTTTCATCTTTTTTTTTTTCTTCTCTTTTATTTCTCATTTTTTCTTTCTTTTTTGTTCATCTTCAAAAATAATCTTTGTGACGTTTGAACATTTGCATAAATCTCATTACTGTTATTCCCAAATGAATTTCACATCGTCTTTATTTTAAATAATCCTCGCATGCACTATTGTTCATTTCATTTCAACATATTCGTTTTCAATCCCATAATTAGAATCCATTGATAGATTATCATGATGATTGAATATTTTTAGTTTTATTTACCAAATAATAGGGAAAATGACTTTTCTTTTAATTTTTTAAAAAAAAAATTTTATAAAAATAAATTTAAAAAATTGTTAATAATTTTAACACAACAATTATTCATATGAACACATTTCAATTATGATAGTATAATTTATTAAATTATTCAAAAAAGGAAAAAAAAATTGTTTAAATAATTTTTACTCTATGAAATATTATAAATAATTTTCTTTTTTTTTTTTTTTGAAGTAATGTATAGTTTCGGGATTGATTAAAAACTGGATGAAATTATAAAGTTTTACGATAAAAAATTTTCGTGAATTATCTTGGAAAATTTAGAAAAAAGAAAAAAGTGTGTCAGGTGTTATTTTAAAAGTTTTGCAATTTTTCATAGAAAAAAAAAAAAAAAACTTTTTAACTGTCAGAGTAGTTGATAGAAGGAACGCAAATAATATAGAAAATTAAAAAAAAAAGAGAGGGAGAGAACCATTCAGCTAAGTTTGAACATTGTAGTGAATTTGAAATGATTATTTTTTGAGATAAGCGATTTAAACTGTCTACAAACTGGCCATTTTTAATTTCTCTGTAGAGAGAGAAAGAAGAAGAGGGAGAGAGAGAGGGAGGCAGGAGGATGAGGAAGTGATAAAAAAAAAAAGCAGATTTATTTAGCTGATAAAATGGCACTTTTTTTTTCTTCTCATTAACTTAGATGGAAATACAAATTTTTATTTAATAATTTCAAAAAAATTTTTTTAACGTTTACTTTTATATAATACTTTTGTTGAATTAAAAAATTATGATAGCAATAAAATACATAATTCCATCACATATAATTCGATGTATTATAGCAATTGTTTCTATTTTTTTATGAATGAGCAAACATTACCATCTAATTTTGTAATCAATTATTTCAAAAAAAAAAAAAAAGTTAATGAAAATTATATTTAAAAATTTATCATCATTAGCATATATATGCATGTCCAGTTATAAATATGTATATATGTTTACATAAATAAAATAATTTTGGTTATTTCTATAGTAATTTGTTAAAATTAAATGAAGTAGATGGAGAATAAATGTATTTGCTTTTTTTTTTTTTTTTTTTTTTTTTCTAACACAACATTTAAATTTATCATTATCTGTATCGAAATTTTGCAAATAAAATTAATGATGATGTTTTCGCACATTTTCAAGTCCATCGAGTTGTTATTTTCTTTCTGGGTGGTAAAAGAATGATGGAAAAAAAGAAAAAAAAAAAACAGAAGAACGAGAAATGATAAGTAAATTTGGATGAATAATGAACGAAAGCAAACATGCGCTAAAAATCATTGTAAACTAAACTAAACCAAAAAATGAAATTGAAAAAGAAAAAAAAAAAAACAAAAATGAGAAAATAAAACAACTGCTGTTGCTAATATTTTCTTTCATCTAATCACTATTAGATTTTATTAGGCACAAATAAACTGATCACTTAATCATTGAAATGATAAAATTCAAATAGACTATAAATTAATTATTTATTTGTTTCATCAGAATATGTTTGGGAATGTCTTATTTTAAAAAATATACAAATTAGTATTTAGCATTTCAGATAATTTATAAAATTAAATTTAGTCATTTCTGTTCAAAATAAACTTATAATAATTATTTACCTGTCATATTTTTTATTTTTTTAAAGGGGCATATAGTTCTGTTTTTATCATTTTTCTGTTATATCATAATTTTATTACTTTTATTTCTCAATAATTTAATTAATTCATTTATTTGTAGCTTATTTTTTTCCCTCATTTAATTTTTTTCACCAATTATTTTACTATTTCGAAAAAGAAGTTCACAAAAAAAAGCAAATCAAAATTATATTTTCCTAAAATTGTTTATTATTGCCGTCGTTAATTTTATTTTTTAAATAAATTAAAAGAATAATTTAGTATATTTGTTTTTTTTTTTTATTTCTTCTTTTTATCATTTTTTTTTTTCATTATTCTTTCTTTTTCACTTTTTTTTTACCCCTTTTTCCTTCTCTTGAAAGTGTTAAAGTGTTAATTGAAAATGTAACTGAAAATGGCATATCGGAAAACATATATAATGAGCTTTATAAAGGTGGTAGTGGTGGTGATGGTATAGTTAATCAATTTTGAGACGATGAATAATGATATAGTTAGTATATTGATGTAGAAAATGTATAAATGATAATTACTACTATGAAGAGAAGAATGAACGGTCGGCATTAATCAAATAGATAAAAGGAATAAAATAT